ATTTAATCATGAACTATTAGTACTAATGACATAATAATTAACTAACGAAACAAATCTAGAAAGTTCCACATATGAACTATTCGACTTTGTCTATTTGATTTCAAGAATTTGTTCCTGTATTTACTCTCTAAATTATTTCTTTCATTACAGTATTAAAAAAAAATCCTACATGAATACACTAATTTCATCTATTCGTTCTCCTTTAATCAATATTCTAGAGAAGTATCTGAACCTCATATATATTTCGAACTCTTAGACTGTCAGTGCGACAAGATACACATAAGAATAAACAAAAATACGGCTGTCTAAAGAAGTTTAAAACAATAGCAGTATCTAATAAAAGCTGACATGTATTTGTGTGATTTAGAAAAACCAAGTCTACGGCAATGTCTGAAACGTTCAGATGGTCGGGTAATAACAAAAGCATGTCAGCTGCAAACGTTGGTATTACATGGCAAAATATGAATGGAAAAGATATCAAAACTATATTTCAGACATCTCAGTAAAAAAAGTTTTTCAATAAATCAATGTCAGCTTTGTTAGAAATATGGGTTTATAAGCAGGAGTCATGTTCGGGTGTCCTATGTCTGGTATATTTGTATATCAACAAATCAATGTCAGTCGGGGTATCATTCGGGACTTAGTTCCGTGTTTAATGTGTCCATATTCCCTTCTCTGGTACATATGTAAGTCAACAGACATGACACGCTCGCGTGTAATCTACCTGTATGAGGCGAGGTCAACACGCGTGAGACGGTGTCAAAACAATGGCGACGTTGTAGAGGACCTGGACCAACATAGACCTGCTGGTGTAAACATCTATTGTAGGATGACACGAGTCTACACCACTACATGGCTCCACTGTAGTGAGGCTCTGTCATGTTATATACAGGTTAATATAGATGGTCATATAGATCATCTATTGTAGGATGACACGAGTCTACACCACTACATGGCTCCACTGTAGTGAGGCTCTGTCATGTTATATACAGGTTAATATAGATGGTCATATAGATCATCTATTGTAGGATGACACGAGTCTACACCACTACATGGCTCCACTGTAGTGAGGCTCTGTCATGTTATATACAGGTTAATATAGATGGTCATATAGATCATCTATTGTAGGATGACACGAGTCTACACCACTACATGGCTCCACTGTAGTGAGGCTCTGTCATGTTATATACAGGTTAATATAGATGGTCATATAGATCATCTATTGTAGGATGACACGAGTCTACACCACTACATGGCTCCACTGTAGTGAGGCTCTGTCATGTTATATACAGGTTAATATAGATGGTCATATAGATCATCTATTGTAGGATGACACGAGTCTACACCACTACATGGCTCCACTGTAGTGAGGCTCTGTCATGTTATATACAGGTTAATATAGATGGTCATATAGATCATCTATTGTAGGATGACACGAGTCTACACCACTACATGGCTCCACTGTAGTGAGGCTCTGTCATGTTATATACAGGTTAATATAGATGGTCATATAGATCATCTATTGTAGGATGACACGAGTCTACACCACTACATGGCTCCACTGTAGTGAGGCTCTGTCATGTTATATACAGGTTAATATAGATGGTCATATAGATCATCTATTGTAGGATGACACGAGTCTACACCACTACATGGCTCCACTGTAGTGAGGCTCTGTCATGTTATATACAGGTTAATATAGATGATCATATAGAACATCTATTGTAGGATGTCACGGGCCTACACCACTATATGACTCCACTGTAGTGAGGCTCTGTCATGTTATATACAGGTTAATATAGATGGTCATATAGATCATCTATTGTAGGATGACACGAGCCTACACCACTACATGACTCCACTGTAGCAAGGATATGTCATGTTATATACAGGTTAATAGAGATGGTCATATAGATCATCTATTGTAGGATGACACGAGCCTACACCACTACATGACTCCACTGTAGCAAGGATATGTCATGTTATATACAGGTTAATAGAGATGGTCATATAGATGCACGGGCCCATATAGATGCACGGGCCCATATAGATGCACGTGTTCATATACATGCATGGACTCATATAGATACACGGGCTCATATAGATGCATGGGCTCATATAGATACACGGGCTCATATAGATGCACGTTTTCATATACATGCACGGTCCCATATGGGCTCATATAGATGCACGGTCCCATATGGGCTCATATAGATGCACGGGCCCATATAGATACACGTGTTCATATACATGCATCGACTCATATAGATGCACGGCCCATATAGATGCACAGACCCATATGGGCTCAAATAGATACGCGGGCTCATATAGATGCACGGGCCCATATAGATGCACGGGCCCATATGGGCCCATATAGACGCACGGTACCATATAGATGCAAGTGCATGCCACATATCACTTACACGTTGCATAAACTCTTTGTGTTAAATTAAATGCGAACCGGCAATTATACCTTAACAAAGTAATATTCTAAGATTAATCGTCCGTACGCAGTCAACGGATTAAACATGCAATAGAAACAAAAGTGTATAAACTGGTACATTCCCGTAACTGCTTATATTCCATTAGCTATTTATTTCAAACCTTTCCATGTTCACCTAATTAAGTAAACCCAATTTCACTATGGTGATTAAAAAAATATATCGATAACTCATCAAAACCGTGAGTTACGGTAAATCACCCCACCTCACATGTATGACCACATGAGCAGGGACTGCGTGCTGCTCACCAAATTGACATGTAAGAGCTAATCGATGTGGCAGCGACCTCACGCAGGGCGTCTCACACTGACACCCACTGCGGCCCCTCTCATTGTTTCCTGATTAACCCGGGGTGGGGGACCGTTTGCCGCTACTTAGTTCACGTCTAGCCATCTAGTTCCCTCCTGTAATTGGACACACATCGGGTGAGCAGTGTCTAGTTTGTGTTGGCATGGCAGGTACCTGAACTAATATCGTGGGAACAAGCTAACGGGCGCGCATCACGGTGGGAATCAAGGTGATAACAGAAACTAATTAGCTTCACATTCTCACCATCATATGCTAGCAGATTTCGATACATCATAACAATAGAAACCATATACGCTCGCATATTTCGATACATCATAACAATAGAAACCATATACGCTCGCATATTTCGATACATCATATCAACAGAAACCATATACGCTCGCATATTTCGATACATCATATCAATAGAAACCATGTACGCTCGCATAATTCGATACATCGTATTAATAGAAACCACTTGTGTTGTCAGATCCCATCTTCAAACATCTTTAATGTCATATATTTCGGGTAGCTACAGTGTAAAGACAATGAGGAAGACTCTAACCCAACACAAGCCAATGATGCACTGTTCCATGTAATGACTATGTGTCATTAGTGGACCAACAAAACCACTGTACGAGGACCGTGAGAGAAGTCAACAATACATTATTCTCTCGGTCATAACCCCCAATCTACGGCTCAATTATCAAATCTTTCAAGTAGCCCTGACACCTCAAAGCGACACTCGCACCGAATATTACGGTTCTAGAAAACCCACGATCTAGAGGTTTCTTTCTTAAAGGATGTTGTAGAATAGAAATAAAATACGAGCACTATTACGTGAAGAAAAAAAAAATAAGCATGGATTTTACAAAGTATTACATAAAGAAGCGAGAGATTATGTCCACTACAGATATAAAGCTACCAACTGGCCGTTTTCTTCAATAAGTACACGTCCATCATGGGAAGTGAAGTGGTCACACCAACACGGCAAGGTTTAAAGTTGGATGCTGAACGATGGTCCAGTGGATTCGAACCGTGAGCTGGCATGCGATGTACCCGGACAATAGAAGGCAGGACAATGCTAAGTGATCTATTGAAAGGCTGAAGAGGCATTCTTCCCACAGCTCGAGTGCTGTGTTCTCTTCGTCAAGGTGTTTTCGTGTAGGTCACCGTGGACAGGGGGTACTTTAACTAAGATTACCGTGCATAGGATCCCATTCATTCAACATTCAGAAATACTTGGAGAGTTTGCTAATTAATTGACATATTTAAAATCTGCAACAGGAAACACTTTAAACCCCCCCCCCCCCCCACACCCTTTTATTTTTTAACATGTGCCAAGTGGAAAGAAATGATTTCAGGATTAAGTAAAAGAACCAGTTATAATTTAGAGTTAAGTTCCACAAAGCAAGTTATTTGTGTAAGTTGTGTTACAATAAGCATTCGATTGGTATTGTGATCAACTCTTGGCTTAAGCTATATAGAAGATAATATATAATGTGTAAATAGAAAATATGTAGGAAGCTGATTTTTGTGTGTGACTAATGCCTAAATACATCCCCACCCCCGAAATACTACATACTACTACATGCATGTTATTACAAAAAAAAAAGCAGATGGCAGTTTACATTATATTTTATTTCATGCCAGCCCCACAGTCTAACGATGTGAGAATCCATATGCCGGTGGTACACAAACTATGTTTTTCCTCTGTCCAATTGTTGACTGGATGAAATTTTCGATGAGTAAACACAAGCCTGCTGGTGTATATTTTCCTTGTCCAGTGTAACAATGACGAAGTATGAAATGTGTCCCCACCCTCCAACAGATGGCCCCCGCGTGAGAACCGTTTCCTCCCGTCTCCCGGGTGTCTCGCACCTAGTTCACGGGTCTGAGTTGACCGTTGCTCCCCACAATACACCTCTCCTTGGTCCTCCTATACATACTGCTCTACATAGCCAGACTCGCTGACATGATCACTGAATACACTGGTAGCCTTCATCGTTGGTGGTGGCAATTGTTCGTGTTTAAACTGATGGTTTCTAAACATCTAATACACCTTAATGATGGGAACGGTGGTCCAATAACATAGAGGACGTGAAAGACAGGACGTCAATAGTTGGGAGGTTGAAACAAACGGTCAGGTGAAACACGTCAATAGTTGAGATTGTAAAACAAACGGTCAGGTCGTTAAGGTTAAAGACTCACCCATTGTTCTGGTCCTTGTGCCAGACGGAGATGAGCAGACGTTTTTTACGGTCCTCTTCTAGAATTTCCCTGTTAGACACGATATGGTTAGGTGGGCGGTGTCAGGGGGTTGTCACACAATGTACAAGGTATGGCAAGACAAACACAGTATAGCATGAAGACAAACACAGTATAGCATGAAGACAAACACAGTAGGGAGCTAACATACATACAGACGAAACGAGTTATAGCATTGTTACATTTACCTTTAATTAGAGACTACATGTCAAACAGGTTAAAAGATATGTGAAGACAAACACAGTAGGGGCTTATAAAGTTGTTTGACTAACACACATACACAAGAAATAGCGAATAACACACATACACAAGTATGGAGCTATATGGATGTTACATTTACCTTTAATTATAGACCACATGGGAAACTTTAAAAGGTATTTGAAGACAAACAAATTGTAAAGACATAATAAAGACACAGGTAAGATTCTAAGTGTGCCTAACTGAAATATTCAGTAGAAAACTTTAAGTCTAAAGACAGACACAAAGACACAATGAAGGTTTTACAGTAAGCCTAACTTACGTACTCACACGGAAAACTTGGTGTCAAGACAGACATAAAGACACAGTAAAGGTTTTACAGTAAGCCTAACTGGTGTACTCACATGGAAAACTTGGTGTAAAGACAGACATAAAGACACAGTAAAGGTTTTACAGTAAGCCTAACTGGTGTACTCACATGGAAAACAAACTCTAAAGACAGATTTAACAACACAACGAAGGTTTTACAGTAAGCCTAACTGATGTACTCACATAGAAAAGTTTAAGTGTGAAGACAGCCATAACAACACAACGAAGGTTTTACAGTAAGCCTAACTGATGTACTCACATAGAAAAGTTTAAGTGTGAAGACAGCCATAACAACACAACGAAGGTTTACAGTAAGCCTAACTGATGTACTCACATAGAAAAGTTTAAGTGTGAAGACAGCCATAACAACACAACGAAGGTTTTACAGTAAGCCTAACTGATGTACTCACATAGAAAAGTTTAAGTGTGAAGACAGCCATAACAACACAACGAAGGTTTTACAGTAAGCCTAACTGATGTACTCACATAGAAAAGTTTAAGTGTGAAGACAGCCATAACAACACAACGAAGGTTTTACAGTAAGCCTAACTGATGTACTCACATAGAAAAGTTTAAGTGTGAAGACAGCCACAACAACACAACGAAGGTTTTACAGTAAGCCTAACTGATGTACTCACATGAAAAACTTGGTGTCAAGACAGACATAACAACACAACGAAGGTTTTACAGTAAGCCTAACTGATGTACTCACATAGAAAAGTTTAAGTGTGAAAACAGCCATAACAACACAATAAAGGTTTTACAGTAAGCCTAACTTATGCACTCACATGGAAAACTTGGTGTCAAGACGACATAAAGAGACAATGAAGGTTTTACAGTAAGCCTTAATTTAAGTACTCACATAGAAAACTTCTCATCAAAGACCGGGTTGTTGCTGCTGAGCCGCACCAAAGTTTTACATCTTGTACGGCGGCTCTCATCCGGTACCAGAGACATCTGGATATACAAATACAAGTTAGATATTCAATCATCACACACTTTAACAGTCATAGAAATAGAAAGTCGACCATCACATACTTTAATATGATGACGTCTTAAAACATAAGGTGTCAACTTTAGGCACAGAAAAATGATGAAACTGACCTTGACATACGAGTCGCAGTGAGATTTCCATGAGGACGACAAACATCGGGCTTGGATAACTGTAGACAAAACATTCAACGTTTGTTATAGCTAATGCCATAACTGGTCAGTTATAGCTAATGTCATGTTTACTGGTCAGTTATATGGTTGCTACTATGTGCCCATCATTAAACTGAACAAGCCTAAGATTGACATAATAATTCTAGCAACCCTTCCAACCCATCAAGAGCTGTGCTTGTATGGTGTAATAAGTAGACCATCTAGGTAACCAATGTACATACCATGAACAGTCAGCAAGCCAACGTTCCAGTAGGCCGATATTCGCAGATGACCTACAACAAAAAGATGATCAGGTTTATGTTACATTTCAAGACAATGACGACATTTTAATTATATTGGCCTCTTGGTTGTATAGCTGTGAATTTGTAATCCCGTTTTAGGGTTTCTGAATATCGTGCTTTGATCAGAACAACAAAAATATCAAGTTCAGGGTAAACCATGGAGCATTAAACGACGACTTAATATTCTTGACAGACATACGGGGTGTGAGCAACAGCTTGGGGTGACGTGGAGTGTCATGTACCATATCAGATGTAGTGGAGTCACCATATCTGATTTGTGTAGTCACCATATCAGATATAGTGTAGTCACCATAGCGGATATAGTGGCCTATTCTGTGCTAAATCAGATACGCTGTGAAGGTACCATATCAGGTGTGAATATCAAATGTACGATCTTGACTCGGGTTTAAGGGAGCGCTTAAAATTTAAATATTCCAGCAGTGAGCTGACGTTGATGAAGTGACAGCACGTGCAGGATCTACTGTCGTACAAAACGTGTCGTGGTGGGCCATGATTTGTAGCCACCGATAACATCATGTACGACGTATGGATAGGATTGTCTATTGAACATTCATTGTTTACACGTAGAGTCGGCTCTGAGAGATCATTTCATAGATATATATACACGGGTGATGTTCTAACATTCTATGCAAGAAGTAAACATTACTAGTAGATCACAAAATCTTTCTACAGCCTGGTTTCTAAGCTCGCAGAATTCTTTGTTGCCGGTAATAGCTAACATTTTTCCAAACGCGGTCACGTGACTAGAACCAATCTCCCCAATAGAAATATCGCATTTCCAATAAAGATAGAACTAAACCCCTACAATCTAGTCGCTTTGTTATTCTTCGTCTCTGGGAGAATGGGCCAGTCCGCCCTATGATTAGAAGCAGAAATCCTGCATATGCTTTTTTCAATGGTGGGCTATTATTGACTCGAGCCTTATTCTGTACCTCTTCCCCTTTGTCCTGTGTATAATGTATGAGTTGTGTTGGTTTATGGCAAGATTGCAGCTGACAGAGAATCGCCCTCACACAGGGGAAACACCACCCCCCGGGATATACAACCATTTTTATGGGACTATATATATGCAGAGTTTTTTGTATAGAGTGACCCATAAATGTACAAACATGTTCTCATTAAACTCAGTTTTTATTGCTTCCTTAAAGCAAATGACTATATTTGAGTGATTCAACCATTAATGCGGCATAAAAACGTGAACGTTCCCCTACTTTTACCTGAGTACAAGCATAACACTAAAATAAACCAATTATAAATCGTCAGAGTTTAAAGCGAAATTTCAGAGCCATAAAACTGGTTGAAATTTGTATTAATATTTGAAAACAACATTCATCCCCGTACATTAAAAATGTAACAGCCCGTCAGTTTATTGTCTGCACGTATGACATGAATGCACGTCCAACATTGCCTCACAGCGAGTTTACCTCAAGCGTTCGTTATGGCGTGCAATTCAAAACTTTGAGCCAATCAGCAGGGCAAGAAACACGCGCTCATATAGTAGCAGGTGCGGCCTAGTCATCGGTGTCATTTTCTGGGCCACTTTTTTTTTTACCTCATTATTTGTTTCATGTGTAACTGTTAGGTAAATGCGTTTAATGTGCCAGGTTCATGTGTTTGATGTGTAACTGTCAGGTGCATGTGTTTTATGTGTAAGAACTAGATAAAACTGTCCGAGTGAATGTTAAGTACAAAGAGAGAAACAGTTCAATACATCGTGTGTATCAGTAAGTTATTGTGAACAATGGGAAATTTTGTTTTGTGAAGGGCTAAAAAAACAGAGTGTTATTACAGTAAACACCGACATACTTCCTCTCGCCGCAATTTGTCTGCACGTGCTATACCCTCTTTATAGTCACGTGCATTAGAGCGGTCACATTTTTTTAAACCAGTGTCATTAAGTTTTGGTCGAGCCACGCGCATGAGCTTAAGTCTGTAACAAATATAAAAAATGACTTATACTTTGAAGACTTTGAAAGGGAGGGGGAGTGGTATGATTGGGGGTGAGCGGTTAACGTGTAAAATTGTATCAGCCTACCATAGTCTGAGTATTAGATGAGATTATGTCAGCGCACGACACGAGATTAGCTGTGATACCGTACGATCCGGCTGCTGCTGACGTTGATAAGGTTTTGTCAGGGTGACGTCAGGTGGTGCTCATTACTAGCAGACAAACAGTGAACACCACGTCAGTTATAACATTTTGTTTCAAATACGCATGTCGTCTATATTTTTAAAAATCGGAATTTTCAAATTTAAACATTTAATAACTTATTTATATTTAAACTTTTTTGATCCGATGTAGTATATGTAATGCTACTTTTTGAATCCATTAGTACCTCTCCATCGCGATAAATCTAAAAAGAAGTTTACATGATCAACTTCACCAAGTGAGTTAGAGTTTAAATTTACGATTGAAACTAAATAAAATTATGTACCAGGGCCCTGATTTCCGTATTCGACACGGAGATATTAGTGCAATCATCTCCCAGCCAAACAAAGGTGTGACAGCCAACTAAAACAAAGCGATCAGACAATGTACCAAGGACGACGGCAACACGATAACGATACAGTGGCCACCACTTCACCCAAACATTTGGGGGCCTCTGAGTTGCAGTTTACAGATAACACGGCGTTCGTGGATGTAGGCATCCCCCTCAAGTAGAGCCATGCAGATAACATCGTGAGCCGTGTGGCCCACTGTTTGGCTCGATTTGTTGGTCGGTAGTTAGGTTTCTCGATACGCGTGTCAAGTATGACGTGGCGTATGTTGTGACATGGGGCGTTATGTTGATCTGTGTAACAATTACTGACAAGGTTTCAGACACGATTGCATACAGCGTGTCTTACCTCAAGTAACTGACACAGACATTGTCAAGAAAATCAATGTTAAAAATTCAATTTAAACATACATTACAATGCACCGAGATATAAGCGATTTTTAGATTTTTCCATGAATAAGTTACAATTTTTAAAGAAATACTGTAACCATATTTGTTTTTAATGTTCTATACTGGTACACATTTTGGGGGACATTTATTTCTAAAGTGTAAATAAAATTTCCTCTAAAAAATAGTCTGACAATATTTACTAGGCTACACAGTTAAAGAGTAGGGAAAGAAAAACAATTTCCATTAGAATTATGGCCAATCATTTTGGTATTTTATTAAAATACATTAGTTTAAGCAGTAAAGCCGAATAGACTACATAGACATAGATAATGTTAAACATGTTTGAAATATTCGACACAAACTTCTAAGCATGGACACAACCGAACAAACGTGAGGGACCCAATACAAAAATGATATGATATGAAAGGGAGCATTAAAGTGGCGCTGATATTTTTTCAGGTCAGCAACAAGGAATAAAACAGCCGGAATTAGCGAGGACAGATCACTTTCAAAAGATGTAAAAAAAACGGGCGTGCGGATGTGAGAGAGGACACGTCCAGGTACCGTGGCGACTAGAACGTTCTAAAGGAGCTCACGTCCGGGCCTTAGATGGGAGGGTCACATACAATGTTTTCTAGGAGAAGAATAATGGCACCAGTTTATCATATCGGGGCAGGAGATTAATCACTAGTTCAAACAACGTTATTCAACCTTTTTTTTTTCGTGCCGGGGCTCTGTGAATTTTGTTCAGAAGAAATTAATACTAGCCTAATTAAATAGGACACTAACAAAGACTAATAATTTTTTTTAATAATTGCCCTACTGTAGTAATATTAGACTATTTTGTGATTTAAAAATGAATGATTACTTAAAATATTACTAAAAGTTTTGTGTCAAATGTTAATACTGAGTTCATTTAAAACTAAAAAGGATATAAAAAAAAACTCGGCTCGCAATGAAAAAACAACAACCCGACTTTTAGTATTAGAACTGGCCAGCATGTGGGTCACTTTTTGATATGACGTGAAACAGAAAGGCTGGAGATGGACGCGACATAAACCAAACAATGCAACAATACGCTAGTCAAACAGAGGGAATGTTGCCTCGCTCTCTTCTATAATGGCTCGCTTGCCTACAAAAGCAAACCAAATCTTGGGCCATCTGTCGAGGGTATTAATACTGGACATCAACCGTGACTAGCGGCTATTTTTCAGCCTGTGATTTTTCGATGCTAAATATGGCGCGTGCCTTCAAGTTTTTCTGGGACAAAATAAAGCGCTCACAGTGCAAATCTAAGATAAAAATAAATAAAAAATAAACAGCAACAAAATATTATGATTTTCTAGGATAAACCAAAGTAATTTTACAGTAAGTTAGTAAATCCTCTCCCCATGAGCTGACGATTGTAAGAACGGGTCGCGTGTCAAGACGAAAAGAAATCAAGCTGCTATTGGGGAGCTTGAAGAATATTAATACTAGAGCTTGTAATGCAACCCGTGGACGTGACATAAGCTTTGAGCTACGAAATGTCAGCGGATAGACCACCCCGTCAGCACAGGTGTCAAATAACTGATCCCATCACAGCTGGTACAAATAAATGTCAACCTACATGCCGGGTTGGGCCCAGCACCATTTCTATGGCCAACAACCCCACGACATCAGGCCGCACGCGACAAACTTGGCGTTACGCGTGACAAAAACAGATTCTTTTAAAGCGAGTAACGGCACCCAGCGGTGGAGGTAAAACCTATACCAGCGTGTGGCTGTGCTTCGGTGATGGACCATTTGTATAGTATCGACCGGTGGGGGAATGTAAACGGCATTTAATGCCGTACAGTCGGAGACAATAGCGCGTAAAGATGGGGGAAAGTTTATATTAAAGCAGGTGCAAGTAGAACATCGTAGAAGTAGAATGGTCGATGAAAACGTCGAGAGGAAACTACTTGAGATATTTGTCGCGTGGGGGTGGCAAGGTCGTTAGAAACAATGATGAATCGTAAAATAATAAGACGCCTCCTCCAGAAGAAAGCCCCGGACCTATTTTATATTGTAATTAAGGCGATCATAAATTAACGATGGTTC